CTATCTCAAACAAACAAGTCTATCTCAAACAAACCACACTTAACTCAGCATATAACGGTTAAAGAGACAAATTACTATGCATTGTGAATACACAAGTCCAAACTCTTCACCTTCGCCACAAATACCTTTAACCTCCGAAATTTATTTATTTCTAATTTTTTTTTGTAGAATGATAATAGGGCTTCTATCTCATATAAGCACTTTTTGAAAAGTAATATCCAATATAGGCACTTTTTGAGAATGGAGCACTTTTTCTCTTGTTTTGAGATTTTCATGACAAAAATACCCTTGCTTCTCTCTCCAAAATGCTTAAACACTTGCTTCTTCCTGCTTCTTCTCCAATCGTTCTTGTTCTGCCTCCTCAATGTAAGTAATTTTTGTCGGAGGACGGATAATCGGCGGCGGTTTCTCATCAGAGGAGAATCCATTCACACCAAAAGCATCACTAATCCGTTACTGGAACAAAGAGATCCGCGGCGAATCTCTCAGATCGGAGTTTCTAATCTCCAAAGCTTCACCGTTAACCACCGTAGACTCTGCCACTTTCTCCAAACTCGCCGCCGAGAACTCGCTCCCGACTCATTTTCCTGATTTCTGCTCCGCCGCAAACCTCTTCTGTTTTCCCGATTTATCACCGAGTCTCAAGAAACACGACTCCGACTCCAAATTCTCCGTCTACGACCAGAAAAACTTCACAAACTACGGCAGTGCTCGTGCCGGAGGCACCGACTCGTTCAAAACCTACTCAAAAGACCCAATCGTTAGTAGATTTCATCCGATCCAATCGTAATCGGTCCTTTTGTGTGTTTTTTCTGTTTCGTAATTCGCAGACACAGGCGTCTACTGGGACGTGGGCGATAGCTAATTATAGTTGGTAGCGGCGGCTGGGATCGTGGATCCGACGATTCGTTTAATGTATTTATCTAACGAAGGTGATATCGATGGGATTAAGAAGATGTTAGATTCCGGAACTAATGTTGATTACCGTGATATCGATGGTCGTATTGCTCTTCACGTCTCTGCTTGTCAAGGACGAACCGATGTTGTTGAGCTTCTGCTTAATCGTGGTGCTAAGGTTGTTTCGATGGATCGATGGGGTAGTACGGTAAAGAAGGAACAATGATTGTAACTGAGAAGTTGAATAGGTTTAACTTGTGTTATCCGTATAGACAATATAGGGGTGATACCATTTGGGTATCATCAAATATAAAATTATTAAAATTTGAGTAAAAAGAAGAAAAAGAGTGTTAAAAGGAAAAAAGAGAGTGTTAAAAGGAAGAAAGATAGTGTTTTTTATTGAAATAATGGGGTGTATTGAAATATAAAATTAATAAAATTTAAGTAAAGAGAGGAGATAGTTGATATTTTTGGAGAGAGAGTTTCTAATAGTTGATACTTTTGATATTTTTGGAGAGAAAAAGAGTGTGTTTTTAATAATTTTATATTTAAAGAGAGTATAAAATTAATAAAAGTTGAATAAAAGAATGAAAAAAAGTTTTCGTGGAGGGTAAAACTGTCAAAAATCAAATGTTTTGGTTACTTCCTTTATATCTGTTTTACCGTAGCTATATTCTTCGATTCCAAGCCCAATATTGTCATCCGGCAAATTGACCTTTACATAAATATAGATGAAGAGACAACACAAAAAAAACGTGATTTGTCAAGTTTTCTTTTTCCTATTTTTATGAAAAAAAACGTGACTGTCGAAGAATTTAAAATTAGAATTATAAAAATAAATACAAAAGTCAATGGAGAGAATTGTAAACAAAAAAAATCATCCTTTCTCTTTAGTTTTCTTCTGCCTTGTCGATGGAGAGATTTCTAGCTTCCGATTAAACTCTTGTTGTCAAGGTTTCGTGTTGTCGGTGAGGTTTGTGACCTAGGAATCTCAGCGGCGCTGGTGAATTTTGTAGGGTTTGGCGGTGTCTCCGGCTTGAAGAAATTTCAGATCTGGTCCTGAGGAGTTCTCGAGGTCGAACGTACGGCAGATCCGGTGGTTCTTGTAGGTTGCCGATGGAATTTGGGTAGGCGTTTTGCGGTGAATCTTGGCGAATCTCTACGCTTTCTTCTTATGTCTTCATCGCACTACGAGATATCTTCAGATCTGGCCTTACCTTTACCGACTGGAGAAATCAGTGCCTCGGGTCACGGTGGTGGTTTCTCTGTAGTCCCGTGGCTGCAACAATGTTGTTTGTGACTCGGTTTGGGATTGGAGCAGAAAAGCCCGAGAGTAAAAAGGAATCCTGACCTAATCATGGGAGTTTGCAATACTCGAGGTCAGATGTACAACAGAGGGGTTTGTGGGCAATCAAGGCCAAAAACGGCAGGGTTTTTCTGTCACGACGCTATGTCCAAGGTCGAAGCTTTGGTGGAGAAGCCGGCCAAGTTTTATTCGGCAGAAGATGTTGAGAAACCCCTCGCTAACAAACACAAGCCAAAAGCACTAAGGTAAAGTAATCCATCTTGTTCGATTGATATTTGAATTCAGTGTAAATATGATCGTGTCTTTAATTACGGTAGATTCGTTTTTGTTTTGGATTTGCTCGTATTATGAAAGTGATCATTGGAATCGTTTGATTCTAGGATTTGAAATGTAGGATTAGTTGAAACATAGGATCCATGGAGATTTTGTAAATTTCTTCTTGCTTAGACTGTAATCTTGTAAGAAGTATATTTATGTGTTAGGAGTATATAAATCTTTTTATAATGTCTTTATTACAGATCCAGCATCACTCCAGAAAGTGTGTTGATCATCCTTGCTGGTAGATTCAAGGGAAAGAGAGTCGTTTTTCTTGCTGCTGGTAACAGGTGAGTTCGTACTCTTCATATTGTTTTGTGTGTACACAGATCTTTATGGTTTTTTCTTGAGCTTATATGATGTTGTCACACCACGTAGAGTTTTGTTAGCTTTTGAAACTTTGTTCTTATGCTTTCTTTGTTGATTATCCTCTCTAGGACCATTCAAGATCAATAGTGTTCCTTTGAAACGTGTAAACCAGGCTTGTGATTGGAACTTCCACAAAGATTGACATTTCTTGAGTCAACATTGATAAATTCAATGGCAAGTATTTTGGAAAAGTTGCTTGAACCAGTCTTTTCTTTCTTTAGTTGTATTGCTTAACTTTCAGTGACTAACGTCGGAGGACTTTGGTTGACAGAGTGAAAAACAGCCTTATTGGTCTGATGATGAGGTGATAGAAACCCCTGCAACAGTCTATCTCTGTCTCTTCACACACTCACATATACAAGTATAATCATAGCAAAGCATGAGATTTTCAGTTTAGTAAATCTTGGTAATCAACTATTTAAGTGAGATTTTGGAATTGATGTCATCTGTGTCCTGAAAACATATTGAGATTTGGCATGTATACATGCATATTCTTGTTTAGGTATGAGTTTCTCTTGGTTCTGGATTACCAATATTCTTTTGTTATTGGTTTTAGGTTGAGGTGGTCAGAGAATTACCTGGAGCAAGCAGCAATCTACAAGTTGAAAAGAATGATACAAGACATGCTCGGAAATGAGTTATATATTGGTGCTTACATGGAGTCAAATGTAATTAGCTTCTCATATTGGCTTTATATGATTTTGGTTTTGTCGAAGCAATATCTGATGAATTTGTTTGTTCCACAACTTATCTAAGGCACCATTGCAGGCTTTAGAAGCTTGCTTTAACAACTCTCCTTTCAAGAAATTGGTAAGGATCTAATCTCTTAGTCTTTATTCAATGTAGATATTAGTATAAGTTGTGGAAAAACCACAAAGTAGAGAACATTATCTTACTCTTACCAGCACTGAGATTTTGTCAAATGACTGAGATTGTGGGCTTCAGAGGTCTTGACTATCATTTCACACATCTAATTTTTATTATTGAAGCATACCAATAAGTTATGTAGTGAAACTTTATGGATCTGTAAGTGCATATGCGAGCCATGCCATGGACAAGCACAAAGACTTCTCAATTTTGCAATGGAAATGGAAGACTCAATCGTTGACTTGTCATTCTAAGGTTTGTAAATAACATGACATTATTTCTTCTAAATGATTAGGCATTCCTACCNTTTTGCCTTAGAAACTCACTGTAGCACAATCAATTCTTATAATATTTTGACTTTGTTCATGGTGAGCTTCTTGATCCCTCAGAGTTTGATAAGTGGGTTGAGGATTTATCTTTGTGTTTTATTTTTCCTCTCTCTCTTTGATTCTTATCAACTGAGTTGGTGTAAATTTGCAGCTTGAAGATATCTTCCCAGATTTCAAGTCAAACGTTCTTAATTTGCAGCAAGAACAAGAATAAGTCTTCAACAATGAAGCACCATTTGGAGTTTTGCTGCAAGAACCAGAACAGCTGTGTATCGTTTGAGAGAAAAGCGGTTGTGGGATTGTGTGCATGAGGAAGGAGTAAAAATGAATTATGGATCAGTTAGTGGACCTATTAAGCAAGAAGAGGAGCATTTATATGTTGATTTCTCATCTTGAAAGTGGTAAACTTTAGTTGATTGTGTTTGATAGAATCTGTGTTTTCGATAGGGGAATTGTGTTTCTCTTTGTCCTTTATCTCATAAGTTAGTACTCTTGTTGTGTAAGAGTTGTAGTTTAAGAGTTGTAGTTGATGTTTTAGGGTTTTATATAAAATTTTGTTTGGATTAGTCTTTGTAAGACTTGTTATGTTTTTATGGATTTTTTAGTGAAATAAAAATAAAAATATGTTGTTGCAAAATTTAATTTATATATATAAAATATACTGAAATATGTGATGCAAAAACGTATCAAATTTAATTAAAAAATAGCATCAACAAAGTGTTGCGATATAATATATCACAGCGAAAATAATGAGCTACAATTGAA